TTTCTGTTATTTTATTTGTAACTTCTATACGTTTGTATTGTCTTATTTAGTTTCCATTATGGTTCTTCTGATATTTCTAAAACAAGGCATTATCAAATTAAAATAGAATAGAAGTACGTTTAATTTAGTTGTCAAGAATACCAATACAGCATTAGTTCGTCAGATAGAGTATTTTCTTTGACAAATAAATGAGATTTCATGTTTATGCTTTGTTAATATTATAGTTCAATTATCATACGTGTGATACACAAGCCTCTTTATTTTTGGAAGCAGAGGTTTTTACAAACTATTATCATGATGTGTGGTGTGAATGAAATTATTAACAAAATAAACTGAACGAAACAACATACAATGGATCAATGAATAAATAATGAATGGTTAAGTGTGGATTAGCATGGTGGATAGTGTATGCATATCAGGAGTCGCTTACCCTGTCGGCGCACTCAGGCTCGCTCCTCTTGGATTTCATGTGATTCCCTAAGTTTTGTTTGTTACATTAGTTTGTATATTCTTTATCTATCTATAAGATTTGAAGATCGGTTAACTATTGTTGCTTAAATTTAGTCATAAAATAATTATCAGATATATAATAAAAAATAAAAGATGGCCAAATCAAAGACATCAGTTTAATATTTAGAAAAATGTTTTTGATTAAAAATACATATATTGTGTTAAAATCATCTCTGTCTTACGTTTTTAGCATATTTTTTTTACAGAAAAAGTGCTTCTGTACAGTGGTGTTCATTCTGTAATATTATTTTATTTCAGAAATAAAGGAAGATCGTAAGTACATGTAAATTTGTACTTTTTACGAATTAAAATACCAAGACTTTTTAGTCGTTTTACAGGATTTTTTTTCTGTAAATCAAGATATCGTAATGTTTTATTTCTAAATTTTAAAATCATATTAAAAACTCGTTGTGACTTCTCCAAGACCAATAAGTAGTGCATCTAATTGTTTTATCGTTTAAATAGAATATATGGGTTTAGATAATAGACACGTCTTCATACTAATTGTCAAAATGTTTCAAATCACTCCTAAAAAACATATCAAATGGTATCGGCCGAAGATGTTACTGATACTTTTGACTAAGGAATAGGCACAGGCACGTTAAACTATTTGAAGGATTAAACATTTATACCGTAGAACAAACTTTATTAGCATTTTTAAAATTGAAACACAACATTAAGATCTTATTTGTTGTAGCATGTACGACTCTTCCATGCAAAAATGGAGGACATTGTTTCCATGATAACAACGACGTTTTCTGTCACTGTCACCCACATTATACTGGAAACACATGTGACGCTTGTAAGTTGTTTACTTTAATAGCAACAAGCAAAAGAAATAATTTTAATTAATATAAAATCTAAAAAAATTTCCAGTGAATAAGATGTTTACCTATCCTTCTCTCGACTTTGTGGTGCCAGCCATAAAATACGAACTGCCTTCCCTTCCAAAGCACTTCAGTTTAGCACTTTTTCTGGGTTCATGATCCTCAATCTCAAGTTTCCTGGGTTTGATTGTTTGGTTGACAGTTAGTTTTCTGTTCATCTGTTCCTGATATTGTCTGAATTTTACGACTTTTGATGCCTCATGATATGTCCCCTTTTTCACAAATCTAATTGAGTGCACTGTAGAATGTTTTTTACAGTGATGGCGTACTGCATAACTAAAGACATATATAATGACGAGTAAGAGTACAACGATTTAAGGTAGTTCGCTTGTCATGTTTTGGAACTTTTGTCAGATTTTCGGAATCCTCTGGTTTTATCTATTTGAATGCCTTAAAAAAAATTTGCCCATTGACCCCCATTTTTCTTTTTAAAAATCTTTTACATGCATAATTATAAGCCATATGTAAAAGTCTTATAAAATCTTAATTATTTTTTAATAGTTTTTGAGAACCTTAACTTGTCAATGATAAAGCTATGAAAAATCAAGAGAGAATATTTTCCCGCCAAAATTTCAATTGCTAATATCTTGAAAACAAGCACATTGACCTATATCTTATTTTTGCTCGTTTTGTTCCTTTATTAATCCCCTATCAATATATACTAGTGTTATGAAAAGCTTGTTATTTTGAAACTGAGTAGCGAACTTCCTTAAGTGTTCTCTTGCCTGGCAAGCAATTTATTTCTAATCGAGTATTTGTAATATATTTCACCAAATGCCACGGGTTGTCAGGACAATAAAAGATGGAATTAATTGTCGTTTCAGTTTCTGTATGTTTACAATCATATGAAACCTCGTTTTTATAATATAAATTTAAGAAATGTATAGTTCTTTTAATGAATTAGGGGGATTTAAAAACTTTTACTTTTTTGTTCGATGAATTGCCGCTGTAAAGTCCCCAGTAGACGATGATAACTCTTCAAATATTGTAGTACTGTTATTTCTATTCTTATACAATACACTGTCATGCCTAATCGAAATGTAATATTTCATAAAACACACGAAAATCCCCGGAAATGTCGATAACGATTTCTACGCGTTGTTGCCAGTGACTTTAACCATCATTTGTTTTATTCGCGAAAGAGTTCATCTAATCAAGAGAAGATATATTTATCACACACATTGCATTAAAACTAGCACATATTGCCGCAAACAAAAGAAGTTTTTACAATTGTTGACCATTTTTTGTCGTGGTTATCTACCCTGGATGAAACATTTTTAGAAAATGAAAACATCAATCTGAATTAACTGTGTTATATAAAGGAGGATTTAAGTTTAAGCGGGACTGGAAAGAAGTGTTCAAATATATTTTTTATCATCATGGCGACATTGAAACTATTTGTATGTCCCAACGTAGATAGTAGACGAGCATTGAACTTTCACTTCATTGCGTCCATCCGTTCGTTTTCCCGTCTGTTCAAAACGTTAAAACGTGTAACAAGCAGTTTATTATCTTTCAGTGGTTCCACCAAATGGTAAGTTAATTATCAGTTTTGTACCGTTTTTCTATAAAAGGTCTTACATTTAGGTATAAAAACTTTCACACAATCAGTAGTACGAAACAAGTTTATTTCATTTATTGTAGTTATGTTACAGTTGAGACTTTCTTTATCAATGTATTTAAGCCAGCAAATGTACGCAAACTAATACTAAAAGATATCAAATATATAAACAAATATATTCTTTATCATGTCAACGTTGATAATAAAGTGCCCACTTTATAAACAAGTATTGATTCCGTATATGTATTGTCAAGTAAATAATACAGTTGACTATAACAAGAGTCAAACGATTTACCGAGTTGTTTATCATCTTCAAAATTAGAAAAAAAACTTAAGGTTGACTTTTTACTTGTTCTTGATACATTATTTCTTTAATTTTCTAGCATACTCTTAATATATGATCAATATTTGTAAATTTCTTCGCATCAAACTCGCCATTTGAGAAGACGTTAATGCCACAAGTGATAAAACTCGCTACGTAGTGTTTATTGAATTTCTGAAAAGCAATCACACCTAACGATAATTTTAGTCGAGTAAAATGCTGGAAAATTTTATTCAACCCTCATTTTCCTCCCAGGTTGTCTTTCAAATCCATGTCAAAACGGTGGACATTGTTACCATGACAACGGCGAGTTCGTTTGCAAATGTAAATCGGGCTTTACAGGAAATACATGTGAAAAAGGTTAGTAATATACTCATAGCCATAATTGAAAACCATGATTGTAATTATGACATATATAATTAGAGAAATTTTAAAATTCAAAATCATGATTGATTATTTTTAATAAAATTAGATGGACTCATATGATCTTAATATCTTTTTAGCTAGTATACTAGTACTAAAAATGATAAATGTTGAAAAGAGAGGCGAAAGATACCAGAGGGACAATTAAACTCATTAGTGGAAAACAAACTGACAATGCCATTACAAAAAAACAAAAACCATCAAAACACAAACAACAGTAAACAAAACACAACTTAAAAAACCAAAGACTGAGCAAACAAACCCCTACAAAAGCCAGGGGAAATCTAAGGCGCTCCGGAAGGGTAAGCAGATCGTGCTCGTCTTGTGGCACCCGTAGCGTCAACGCTACAAACCCGTACTTAAATTGCATCTTTTAAGGATTTTTTTCTCTTTCAGCCATACAGAACGATGGTATGTTAAAAACTTTTATATACACTTAACACACTTTCGGATTTCTTTCAATCTTTCGTTTGTCAAAATCTGACTTAGTGAACAACGAAAGAAATGTATAGTCAAATGTAGACCACAACATTATTAACAGTTGATCTCATTTCTCTTAAATCAAGTTGTGTCTCTCACTGATCTTTATAAGGCGTTCACTTCTTTTATAATGAGAAGGTAAGTGTGTTTGTGTTTCACTGTACTTTTATGTAAGTTTAATTGAAACTGAAGCATTTTAATGTTTAAAACATTCGAAAGGTGTATGTTTTAATTAACTTAATAATCATAATATTGTTTGTTTCTTACACTGTATAAGATACCAATGGGCATTTTGTACAATTTGAAATTTTAAGGTTTGAGCGTTCTTGATTTGGGCAAATTCAGAAAAGCGCTTCGACGCACTAGATTTATAAAGTATTATTTTATTTAAGTAATGAAAAATGATGCAGTCAAAATAGTTTCAAACGTACAAGTTTATCAAAACTGTTCAGTTTCAAAATGTTGCTCGCAAACTTGGCACTGTTTTTCGGTATTAATAACTATCACACTGATAAAACATTTTCTAACATTTTACTTCAAATAAACAGTTAGGTACTAACATTTTTGAAAATGTGTAGAGTTATTCCGTTTTAAGTTTTTTTCTTACATTGAGTCATGCGTTCTCGTTTTATATGCCGAAAAAACAAAGATTACCCTGACATATTCAATTGGTATCAATATCTTACAGCTTGTACAGGAAATCCCTGTAACAATGGAGTATGTTTTCACAACCTAGGGGTTTATATTTGTATATGTGACCATGGTTACAAAGGAAAACACTGTAATATAGGTAAGTTGAATAAAGAACATTTATTGAATGAAGCATTGTTGTGATTATGAAATCAGTAAACATGCATGGTCACAGTGCGGTTCACTACGATTAGATTTGATGCTATTCCGATTGCCTTTGTTTAATTTTTTTTACACCAACTTTTTCTATTTTTTTTTTTTTTACTTAATTGACGAGCAACATATAATGTATTACCTGAATATTAATATATCAAGCGACAGAAGTTCGCCGACGTTCAAATCTCATGAATCAATTAAGAAGAGCCAAATTAATGTAATAAAAACCTTTAGGAATCCCAGAACAACCGGAAACCATGGTTAAGAACAACGAGGTTTTACAAAATATTCACAATAACTGCATATAATATTTTTTATTGAAAGCTAGTTGATTTTAATAAGGACTAATATAAAACAAAACAAACAAGAAAGACAATGACAACTAAAAATTTAATGATATGCCTTAAGAAAATAAAATCAAAGTTTGAACAATGTATGTTCATATATATTTTTTTTTCTTTTTCAGCACGAAGGGGTAAGTTAAATCCGTAGTGTTGAAAATATACTCGTCAAAGATACCAAATTATTGTGAATAATATCATGCAAGGAAGTACATGTAGTCTGCACAACAAAAAAATCCAGTTATAACAACTATGCTGCAATTTTGTTACTTCATATTGTGGTTCTTCCACAAATAACACTTTATGTAGCAACTCACCAGTTTACCGAACACATAAAGAGTGTCGTGCTACGAGATAAATACATATAGGTTAAAATTGGGAAAATGTTGAGTAATATATGTGTAGGTTTTAATAAGAATAGGATACTTCGTTGTAACAATGCCATCTATATATATTTAATAGAAAAGGTTGTCTCTGGTTGTGATGTCAGAGAATTTCTGTGGAATATAAGAAAAGATGCCAATTTTAGCTCACTTACCGTCGAAAATAATTATAGAAACTTATGCCACATCACATCATGCTATTTGCGACATTTGAATTTCCGACGATTGTAACGCAAGTCTAATAAGGTATAAATATTTGACAAAGAAAACTCCTCCGTGGTGTACAAATGTCGATACAATTGAAAAATATTTATAAATGTATTTATTCTTTTTCAGTTTGTGACAGTAGTCCTTGCAAAAATGGTGGTCATTGCTATGACGACGATAACTCTTTCGTATGTGTATGCCATTCTGGATTTGAAGGAATACATTGTGAAAATGGTAATGTCAAAATCAAAGCAATTTAATCAAAGCCAGGACCGATTTCCGCATTCAATAATTAAATTGTCTGCATAACTCAAGACATAAAATTAAGCACATTTGGTAACACAACATCACTTTTTCTAGAGGAATGTATTTTATAAACCTTCTAATTCATTTTTAATCATTATAAATGATTTCAAAGGGTAGATTGTACTTTAAATTTATTTTCATACAAAACATGCAGTATCTTTTCAGTCGAATTTTGAAAACGTATATATTTCAATCTTATTTTATTTCTATGCAGAAATAATGCCTTATAATTTTTATGAGTGTTTGTGTTTGCGGCGGCGTTTTAATCTACCTTTCTTCGACATATTAGCTTTAAATAATATTATTTTAGATTTTGATATTCTTGTCCACATTTTTATATATTCTATTAAACTGTTAATTGATAGGACGGACCATAACGCACCCACCAACGGCGACAATACGTTACACTGTATCCCCAGCTGGGCAAGAGACGACATTATTAAATAAAATAGACCTCTCGAATGTGTCTCTAACAAATACATCATCATCAGTATCAACGACAGCAACATACTCAACAAAAACTGCCACAGCTGCATCAACGACAACAGCTTACCCAACAAAAACTGCCATACCTGTATCAAATACAACAGCTTACCAAGCAACAACTGCCACCTCAGCTGCGTCAGTGAAAAGAACAACATCGTTTGCAAATGAATCAACCACAACAGCTCACCCTACTACAACCGATGTATCTCCAAAACAAACAGCTACAACTCTATTGACTCATACAACAAAGCATGCAACTAAAGGTAAAATAGAATCTAAGTGTCATTCATCAATAAGAAAATTGTGGTTTTTGTTCAGTGCCTTGAATCATACTTTATAAAAAAAAAATGAAAACAACGCTTTATAAATATATTGCGTCGGAAGCGCTTTCCTGGATTTACCTTCATCAGAAACGCTCAAAGCCAAATATTTGAGAGCTAAGGATGTATAAGAACCGAAACAGTTGAGGAGCTGTATATATGGCCCAAAGGGACCCAAAAATAGCCAGAACCATCTATCAGAACTCTATACATTTCATTTAGATAATCCTATCAATAGTGTGATCACCTGATCATTGAAAACAAGACAACTCATTATAAAATAATAGAGTAATAAGAAATCGGAACTTCTGAACCTTAAAGTGGAATATATCTATATGCATTTGACCTGCAATAATAAAGCACTTTCGAACATTCTGAATATTTTTTTCTGATATAAAGGTAACATTCAATAAGTTATAATGATACAAAAGAGTATGACAAGTGAACTCATCAATATGAATAAAAGTAGACATCAACTAAACGACACAGAAATAAAACGAAAAACAACTAAAGGTGAACAAACTCCTTCAACGATAGACAAGTGCCAAGTAGTACATGCAACTGGTACGTTGGCTATGAAAATTATCAATTTTTACATTAACTATCACAGATTTGCAGTCATCATCAAATTCTGCAAAAGATAAAGATTTGCAATAGGATAATTACTGACCAATTTCCTGACTGAAGATATTTACTGGAAAATTTAAACTAGTTTATGTTTGTTATTGCTATATTTAATTTATTTCATTAGGCCTACACCTCAAGTTTAACAATACTATAAATCTATAGGTATCCATGCTGTCCCGCTCAAATGAGAGCATCTATTCATAAAGGTACAAAATTGGCCAGAAGTTACTGAAATTATTAACTTTACAATTATTGTATGAAATTGTTATTTTTATTTTACAAACATACACACATACTTTGTATCGATCTGATGAGTTAAGCCTTTTTCAACTGTTTTTTATAGTTTTTTCTTATGTTGTGCTGTTACACCACTGTCCCAGGTTAGTGGAGGGTTGAGCGCTCACAAACATGTTTAACCTGGCCACATTCTTTATGTGCCTGTCCCAAGTCAGGAGCCTGTAGATCAGTAGTTGTCGTTGGTTCATGTCTGTCATATTTGTTCTTTGTTAATTGTTTTGTTATAAATTAGGCGGTTTTTCTCAATTGAATTGTTTCATAGTTTTCATGTCGGTGCCTTTTATAGCCGACTATATTGTTTGGGTTTTTCTCATTGTTAAAAGCCGTACGGTTGCCTATAATTGATTACATCCACTTTATTTGAACTTTGGTGGATAGTTGTCTCATTATCAATCATACCTCATCTCCTTATTTCTATATGCAGTTGACACTTTCACTGAACAGAACACGGATGGCAATGTCGTAAATCCATTCATGAGTAAGTTTGTATGTACTTTTTCTAATTTTCTATGGGTTTCTTTGGAATATACTAGTTGTACTGTAACGACTCTATGTTCGTACACGTTAGAAATAGTCGGTAGCGACTCATAAACAAGGCGATAACACATATACTATAGACGAAAACTCTCAAAAAAATCATTGAAAAACTCAAACTCACTATTATCATGATTATAATCACTTCTTTTAAAAGAACCATGATAAAATTATTTAATTAACAATTATCAAATGTTTTCCGAAAACCGCCTTTAGTATCCGTACGTGCTACAGGAAATGTTGAAAAAAACATTACTTTAAATAACTTCGACTACACTAATACATATTTGTTCTCTACTTTAGATAACTTCGACTAAACTTATACATATGTGTTTGCTCCTTTAGATAACATCGACTACACTAAGACATATGTGTTCTCTCCTTCTAGTGCCAAATGTACAATCGTGTGATAAGCAGAGTCTTCTGCTTGATTTATCAAAAAGATCTGTTTTACGAAGTGTTAACGATACAAAATGCTTGTCTGGAGAAAGTTCAAAATCCCATGCTGTAGTGTTGACCCGTTGTGCCGCACCAGGAATATCGTCATGGAAACGGGGTGTGCAGGTATGATGACGAAGTGTCCTGGTGTTATTTATTAATGTCTAAAATGTATCACTAATTGACTAATTAATTTAGTGTATTGGTTCTATTCGAAATAATTAATTGTACTGTTAAGTCCAAAAATGGACAATAATAATCAAACAGTTCCTATTTCAGTAAATTATTTTAAAAATACAGAACTCAACATTATCGAATAATGTGATACTTTTTTAACTTCCATTACTCTTACTTGCTTCGTTTATGGCAGTAAATGATCTGTTTATATAGTAATAATAATAATAAATTTTATTTTATTATTGTGTCACATACTGATTGAACATTATACAATGACATAATAAAAATATACATTAAAACAATCAGTACCCAGCCATAAGATTGGCTTATGAGACACATATCTACAAAACATTTCACATTTAAATATATGTAAATATAACATTTCCTAAAATTTGTTTTTTGTACAATTTCAAAAAGATTTATCATTTAAATAATTACAAATTCAATTAAAAATTCATTTAATAAATTAAATTATAAATTATATAGATAAAAATTATTATTTATTTCATTTAAATATCACATGACTTTAGAGTAGTAAAATTTAAAGGTTACTAAAACTATAAAAATTAGTATCTCAAACTAAAAATAACTTTCGTCTCATAAAAAAGTTAAAAATACTCTTGCTTAAAAATGCTTGAATTTCAGGACAATTCATCATTTCAACTAATTTCTGATCATCGTCTAAAATAGCAAAATTTTCAATATAATTTGAACATTCAGAAAATAAAAGCCATTTCAAGTCATCATAAAGAGAACAATTTAAAAGGAAGTGTTTTTCAGTTTCAACACAATTGTTCGTACAAAGCACACAAAGTCTGTTATGAACTGGAATTGGCGGCCTGGCATACCTTCCGGTTTCGATGGCTAGCGGTAGCGATCCGGCGCGGAACAGAGCCATAATGCGTTTATGTTGTCAAGGTATTAACATTGCAACATATAGTTCAGTATTTCGTTCCTGTTTAAATTATAGTAGTAAAGCTAATCTTGTATTTTGGTCTTTGGATGTTTTGGAGAAAAAACCCTGGTTCGAAAGACAACACCTATTCTAGTTTTTTTTTACCTTTAACTAATTCTGGTCAGTTATAAAAAATTGAATTTGACAATGTGATTACTTAGGTATTTCTTTTTCCAAAAGGGAAAGACCTTACTGTATTTCTTCTGATTATAAACATTCTTCCGCCAATATTTGTCAAAACTTGCCTTCACAACCGTAAGACATGTCGCTTTTACGTTCACACTTCATAATGGTGTCATGAATACCTATCCGGAACTCACGCTGTGAGTCTTTTTTTTCGGTGCATAGTTATCTGCCTAAAACAAAAAAAAACTTGTTATCATGTGAACACCATAATCGTAACAGGTAGACAAAAACCGAAGGGTTGAATTTTTTCAGGGCGCCACCCTGGTACTTCTCTACATTTGGATCGAAAAGATTCAAAGTCTCCTTGGTAGGGTTATACCCTTTGAAAATTAACCGCTGTCGGTTGGCTACTGAAAGTTAAGAAACCGTAAGTCACAGAAACCTGGGGTATTCACCAAAATACATCAAGGTCAAATGTTTAGGTTGACCATGACCTTTGACCTTAAACCTTTAACCTTAAACCTTAAACCTTATTAATCTCAGAAATCGTTATAGTTACAGATGTCTTAGATTGTGGAAAATGTTTATGTCATTAAGGCGCAACTTTGTTACATTTGAATGAGGATATTTGACTGTCCGTAATGGGCATAACACCTGCTAACTGTTTCCGAATAAACAATATTAGACAAATTTAAACCAAAGGTCAAAGACCCATGGGTCTTTAGCAAAGCCATCGGGTACCAATGAACTTCATCTTGACAAAGGTAATAAGTTCAAGTGTCAAGGTCATGTAATAGATAGTGAATTTTGTGTTTTTAACCTATTTTGAGGGTTTGATGTGTGTTTTAAAGCTTTCTATTATTTTTAATTTTAGTTTCTTGTGTACAATTTGGAGTTTAGTATGGCGTTCATTATCACTGAACTAGTATATATATTTGTTTAGGGGCCAGCTGAAGGACGCCTCCGGGTGCGGGAATTTCTCGCTGCATTGAAGACCTGTTGGTGACCTTCTGCTGTTGTCTGTTCTATGGTCGGGTTGTTGTCTCTTTGACACATTCCCCATTTCCATTCTCAATTTTATTCCATTGCACTCTTTTGTCTATTCAAACATATATTTTACAATATGAAAAGGAATCCCCTCTCAATTGTTTAAGAACCATTGACAGTTAAATTAATATATTTCTTTTTTTCAAATATAAACTCATTTGTGTGAAATAAAGATGCTTTGCTTCAGTACGATATTGAAACTTTACTTTTTTTTATATTTCATTGCAAAAAAAATATTTCGACGAATACAAAGACATATCAAATGATGTGTTTAGAAAAGTGGTATAGGCTCACTTCTGTACTATAGTATATTGTCCTTTATTTACAGGTATCAAAATATTGTGGCATTTTGCCAAGTTTTATAGCAGTGGCACAGTTTCGCCGTGACGTTTTGATCGAATCGGCAGTTCTGGTATCTTGTGATAAGCAAAATGATACCTTGCAGGTGAGATATTGTGTAAAGAATTGTAAAGAAACTTACAATTCTAATTTGTTTTCTTGTTCAGTTACGGTATTTAAGATACTCTCAGATTGAATTCTGATCTCTGTGTCTTATGATAATCTTTTTTTCCCCGTACGAAGTTATGAGGTTTATAACGCGTGTAAATCTGGTGTAAACCAGGGGTATCTGGTAGTTACGTGTCCAGATCCAGTCGCAAATCAAAGTTTTGCCACTGTGATATTAGCTTGCAAAAGTAGGATATTATAATGGCAGCTTGATATATTACGTATTTTTCCACATGATGATATATATATTTTTTTTATTTTATAGTGAAACCTATATATGCCAAACGTTGATCCACAATAGGAATTTGAACATTTTGAAACTTAAATGACGTCCCTTTACATGATACTTCTATAAGAAGAATGACCACATGATTGTGGTCACTAATTTATTTGACCTTTTAAATATTTCAACGAAACAATACACCTTATCGCTATCTATGCCATTCCGGGTAGGTTCTGAAATTACACAACTTTTTCATCCAGTTGAAGCTATCATGGGCCCTGTTTAAACAATATATCATGCATAAAATATTTCAAAGAGCCCTTTTTAAACCATCGTAAACACTCCAAACAAAATATTTTTTTTAATTTAATTTGAGTTTCGAAAACGTGGATCATAATCTATCAAAATTTCAAAGTGTTCTCTTTCTAAATCTTTTCCTCCCTTAGATCGTTACTGATGACCTTTCTTTTGGCGCCGGATGACCCAAACAGGAAGTTGTCTAAGTGACTGTTTTTTTTTTTCGGATTGGACTAAAAAGCGATAAGGTGTATAAACAACGGATTAATGAATAAATGTTGACTGTTATAATGAGGATTCGTATGGCGGGTGATACATCCATAGCAGAAGACGCTTACCCTGTCGACGCACCCTGTCTCACTCCGTGTAGGGTTCATGCCATTTCTCCAGTTTTAGTTTGTTATTTCGATTTGTCTCTTCGTACTTGATTTACGAGAATTGAACATAGTTAACTATGAGAGTCTTCGACATGACAAAATGTAAAACAATTCAAAAAAAAAAAAAAAAATCATCTGCCTAATTTTTGGCGACAAAATAATAAATAGAAATCAGATATAACAGACAGCAAGCAACAAAATCACTACAGAAAGGCTCCTTATTCCCTGTTAGTATCAAATTGAATGTATTTAACGATAAAAATTCAATTAGAAAACGTACAAAGTATTTTAGGCAAAATATTTATCCCAAATCCACTACTACTTACACAGATAATCATTGCTTCCAACAGTATGGCTTAAAACATTTCGTTTTGACTTCTTTGTTTGACTTTTTCAGATTTTATCACAACCATGTGATGGGTCTATTAGACTAAGAAACGTAACGTGGCCAATAACAGATACATTTTATACTGTTAAATGGAGAATTTGATAGAATATGAAAGACATTTGTAGATTGTAGCATAAACAAATAGTTATGACTAGAATTTGACAAATTAAGATGTTTCTTATATAGATGTATCTGTGAATCTCATATCTTGATCTCTAATGTTACTATTAAATATTTCAGTAGTATAAGCTGATATCGTAGCGTTTGATTTTCCTTTGATTTAAGGCAAATAACAAACAAATAAACGATTTTCTGTATTGTGAATGAAGAATAACTCGGATGTTAACTTTGTGGTCTCAGAAATTCGTGCATTTTCATGTCATATTTAGAAGCAAGTCTTATTTAAGAACTTATATCGTTTATCGAAAGTATCTTTAAATGAATCGAATTGAATACGACTGTTATCAGTTTGGGTAAGAATCCTTCAAAGGAATAGTTCTTTACATGGTAGACGTTTTAAATCCTAGCAAGTCAGAATAAACCATACAAGTGTAATAAAATGTTGAATGTCCCTTCAGTATCTTTCGCCTCTCTTTTTTGGACATCAATAAGATAATAAATTACAAATTTACATTGTTATTTCTGTAGCCAGTAAATTGTGACAAAACTATAATGCACAGTAGTAAACAATTTAGGATATCGGATGAAAATATTCTATTGGGATTTTGGCTTTCAATTAGAACATGAAAATAAGGAGATATAGTATATTGCCAGTTAGAAAAACTTCCCACGGAAGGTTAAATGAAACGAATGTTAACAACATTACATGTTGATTTCTTGATTGACAACATATGTGTTACGTTTGGAGAACGTGTTTTAACAAATTATTGGCAATCCAGTGGGAACCAACTGTGCTTCCCTTCTAAACGGCATGTTCCTTTATTCACATGAGGCTCGCTTCATATAACAGTTTCTTAGTACGAGCGAAATGAAGCTAGCATTATCATTTAACTTAACGTTCCGCTATATAGATGATGTCCTCTCACTAAATAATTCAAAGATTTGTGTCCATATTTAACGAATCTATTCCATCGAACTCAAAATAAAGGATACAATTGTCGTAACCTCAATCACTTCCCCTTGTCCTCGAATATGATCTACTAAATTAGAATAATAATCGGGTTTGTACTGACATCAGCAACACAACGGGTGTCACATGTGGTGCAGAACTGCTTACCCTTTTGGAGCACCTGAGATCACTCCTAGTTTTGATGGGGTTCGTGTTGCACAGTCTTTTGTTTTGTATACTGTTGTTTTCACTTTTGATTGTTTTACGTTTTTTGTCATGGCATTGTCAGTTTGTTTTCGAGTAATTAGTTTGAATGTCCGTTTTGGTATCTTTTGCTTCTCTTTTGTAAATCTTTTAATGGATTTACATTTGAACAGACTTTGTCAAACATCATCCAACACGATCTTTAATCGCTATTTGTCTACGGAGGCAATCTTTCATTTAAAGATACTAGTTACACTTGACATTGAAATTGTCAATCAACCAATCAATCAATCGAGCAACCAATTAATCAATAAAAGAACAAAACATTTGAAGAATCTTCTTGAAATATTTGTAACTGGATATCATACAAACAACAATCAATAATTTAATGTGAAATATAGTCAATCGTTACTTTACGCTATGCAAACGGTTGTTAATTAGCCAGCCAACCAACCAACCGTACCAACAAATTGATTCTTTAATTAATTGCAATTAAAATACTAGTCACACTTGTTATGTCAACAGTCTATCAGCTATGGAATTACGCAATCATGTAAGGAAAGGTGGAAAGATCATCACTCACATGTGTCTTTTAAAGCAATTGTCTGTCTTTATATTTTGTAAATAATTTCAAGGTAGGTACATTTTAAATTGTGTAACAAATGTACAACAAAAAGTTACGTCTAATGGAGATTACGAGTCATATCCTGCATATCATCTGGCAATAATTAATAGAGCGAAGATTAAATGTACATACATGTATTAACCTTTTGACAGACGTACTAGATTTTAAACATTCAATTTGAAAGTCTTCTACTTCTTTGTAGGTTATTCGGTCATTATTCTGTGGTAGTATAAAACATTCTCAAACTAAACCTTTTTTTCAAATCACTTTTTACGTATTTCATTTATTTGTAGTCTAAATATGCAACATTATTTGCCATTGAACAAGAATTAATCAAAACATATTATTAGAACAGTAAATATTGACATGTCCATTTCACAATCTTCTTATAATAATATATTTCTCATTATTTTTTTTTTTATTTTGGCCAATGATTGTGTGTATGAAAGATGAAAGGAAGAACCTGCTTAACAGACTGTTAAATGTAAAATTATCTGAGCATTGAGACATTTTCATTGTAATCAAAAGAGCAAATTGATGATTTAAAGAGTTATCTATTTCTTTAAAAGTACCCTATATAAAAACTAAGCGGCCTTCAAATGTAAAACGCATGCCGAATTCACTTAAATCCTTCTTGGAAACTTTGTCACAATTGCCAATACTGTTGATGCTGTTACTATTTGTACAAACCTCAATTTACTTTTCTTCTGGCTATGCATGTTACAAAGCATACCACTGTTCCTTATATGTACGGCGCTAGACCAGACAAGTTTAAAACAATTCCAGCAAAGTCAAACAAAATACTGAAATAACTATCCTTGAAAAATGTTCGTGAAATTTTTGTTACTGGACATAACACAAACAACAATCAATAAATTGATATGAAATATAGTAACTTGTTAATTAACGGCTGTAAATCAACCCACTAACCAACCAACCAGACCTATAAATTTATTTTTTAATTAATTAATTACTGTCATTCTTGACAATATGTCAACAGTCTATCAACTATGCAATCATTCAATCACGTACAGAAATGTGGAAAGACCATCACTCACAACTGTCTGTTGAAGCAATTGTCTGTCTTTATATTTTTCAAATAAATTAATTTTCTTCAACAATTATCAACGTTAAATGTAGGTATATCTTAAATTTTGTTATTCATGAAAATGTACAACAAAAACAGTTACGTCAAATAGAGATTACGAGTAATATCCTGCATATCATCTCGCAATAATTAATTGAGCAAAGATTAAATGTACATACATGTATTAACCTTTTGACAGACGCACTTTATTTGAAACATTCACTTTAAAATTATTCTTCTTCTTTGTAGGTTATACGGTCATTATTCTGTGATAATAAAAATTGTAAAACTAAACTTTTTATCATATCCCTTTTTACGTATTTTATTTAGTTGTAGTCTAAATGTATAACATTATTTGCTCTGGAATTTAAGCAAACTGAACACGAATTATCAAAAAAAATCTTATTAGAACAGTAATAATTGATGGATGTCAAGTTGGTTCAATATTCAACATTCAACATTCAAATTTGTTTTTATTTTTTTTTCAACATTCGATTTCAACATTCAACATTCGTTTTCAACATTCAACTTCCGTTTTTCAACATTCAACATTTAACATTCGTTTTCAACATTTAACATTCATTTTCAACATTCAACATTCGATTTCAACATTCAACATTCGTTTTCAGCATTCGAAATTCGTTTTTCAACATTCAACATTCAACATTCGTTTTGCAACATTCAACCTTTGCATTCAACATTCGTTTTCAACATTCGTTTTCAACATTCAACATTTGATTTCAACATTTTAACATTCGTTTTTCAACATTCAACATTCGTTTTCAAAAACATGTATGGTAACTAGGTACTTTGTTTTATCAAATAAGGATGATTGCTTGACACTGTTGACATGTCCTTGACTTCCTACTGTTGACATGTAAACAAAATAGTGGCTTTAATCGTCCTGAACATTTTCCCCATGTATTGTATGCTTCTTTCAATTGTCTTTTCTTACAAAATCAAATGAATGTACACACGGTAAAGGTCCAGGTCATCAATCATCGTCAAATTGAAGGTCGTTTGATGTTCAATGGTTATTACTCTATTCGGGTTATATTAATATTATGGTCAATTTCTGAAGAAAAAACCCAAAAGACATATTTTTGTTCCGATAGCAACCATCCTAGCACCGTGAATCCAAAACATTTTGATGTCAGTTATTGATTAGAAGTATTGATATTTATATTTATAACCACAACTAAAAATTGTGTTCATGCAAAATGTGTATAATTTGCTTTCACAAATACAATGACAAATAACCTCTGCCCCTGCGGTTGTGACAATATTCAGCCAAAATATTTTTTATATATGAAATTGCTGTTTTGTATATTAAGTATCATATTTCTGAAAAATATTAACAAATATCATTAAATAAAATCTGGTTTTGCTTCAGAATGACTGCAAAGTAGCTGTTTTGTCAATAGTAGATCCCCCAAAATGTACGGGGAAACTTATTGACTTTGCCGTCATGGCATCCGTGGCCTAGCAACATTTTGGGGGCATTTTCCCTATATGAAATGGTTGTTGGTAACAGAGGTTATTTCTTAATTATAGAAATACACATCTCAAAAAAGACATTAAATTCACGTTATTCAAGCATCCATCTCGGCACTTGCACTCGCCGGACTGTAGATAAAAAAACTGTGACTCAAAATAACTGGGTTTTTTTATAGATCAGCGAAAAACCAAAAATCGCAACAAATCGCAAAGTTATAGCCTACCAAACACTTTTTCAATCGACTGTAAGGACCTTGAATCCTGATTACATACATTACTTGTGCACCATTTGAAATTTTACAAACAGGGCAACAATAAATTTACTGTGAATAAAGTGTAAAATTCCGGTATTAATGTTTACAGAGCACCAAATACTAAAACCCGCACCAAATCGAGAAAAAATAGCCTACTGATCATTTTGCAAGAGCCTGTCGGGACTTTGAATCCCCTATTAACAGACAAAATTTATGCTCCAGTTCAAATCTTACCGATATGAAAAGAAAAAAACATATAAAATCAATATAGGGTACACTTCTATGATCTATGATAAGTTTATAAGTTTCAAATGTAAACGCAAAATTAAGGACCATCAGAATAAACCGCATTAAATCGAGAAAAAAATGCCTACCAAGAACTTGTTAGTTGACTGTTGGGAATGTTATGAATTTTGGTTCTTTTTGGTCCTTTTAAATCTTAAACATATGTCAGTTAAATTTT